GAACATTTCAGTGGCGCTTCAAGACAGCAAAGCTCTCCACATTCACGGATTTTACAGGTGGTTCATAGAATGCAGTAGGGTTCCCCACGTTTCTTCATCTTCTTATCAGAAAAAGAATCTGTCAAGCCTGGACAGATAGAATAGCAACTTAGCAGTGGTTTATTTTGATCGTAATTGGTTGAATAAGCCCAGACTAAGCTATGATGGCTTAGAGCAATATATGAACTCTGGTAGCCTGAAGAATCCACCATTGGAAGCATCCCATTGCTAGTATCCTTCTAAAAATACAGTCACTACTGTATTTTTAGTCTTGGTATAAATAGTCTTGGGCACCATTGGAAGTCATTCCCCAGGAGGGCAAAAAATATTAAACAGAGTTTCCCATCCTTCCATTTTTTTCTGCAAATAAGCATCCATGTAATATGATTTCTCATAAAATCAAAAACTGGATGCTTTCCAGTGCTCATCCAAATGGTATCTGCCCTTTATTGCTTTCTTTGAAAAAAAAAACGGTGGGAAGAGAGAGCAGTCCTTTTATAGTGCAGTCGGATCAACTGTTTTACTCTCATTCTGAGTAGGAACTGATCCCCATGCCACCTCTGTGTGGGAGCAACATTTCTTACAAATAAATAGACCCCTTGCCTTTTAGGAGGAAAAAAACAATCATAAAGATATTTTTTGAAGACCCAAATAAGGCCCTAGTTAAATTAGAAATGCTGCCTTTAGGTTAGGGCATCTTTTGTGTGGAACTACGTGTGTGTCTAGAAAAAAAAATAAATTACAGAGCATTTTAGATGTTGCCTTTCCCTGCACAGAGCCACCTCGGAAACGTTTTGAAATGTGGACCGAGAGAGATCATGAAAGCAAGGGGGAAGACTACTTTGTTGTACAAAATTTGGAGTTGAAGGGGAGATTTCTTCGTAGGCGAGAATGGATGGGCTGGAGAACTTGAAAGCTTGCATGTGCGTTTGTACTCATTTGTTAATAAGCGTATCACCCAGCTTTGAATTTTTTTATTCCAATGGATCAAGTTAGAGTGCAGCTTGTTTAGTGATGACGGTGGTGGGTTTCACAAGGGCTCTGCAGCACCCTAGATATGGTTACCCCATTTCAGTGACATTAAATTGGGAGATGTATTTACTCTAATAGGAAGCTGAATAGGTGTGCACCTATTTTACTTACGAAGCCTCCAAAAGCCCAAAACAGAAATAGACCCCCATCTCTGGGGATATCCCCATGTCATTATCATTTCTCCTCTAGCTTTCGGAAGCCTTAAAAAAGGGCATTGCCAGGGACAAAAATATTCCCAGATTATGGCATATCTTATTGTATGATCCCTGCTACTATCGATTTTCTCTTTAAAAAAGCCACTTAAGCCTACTTATCTTCTTAGTGCTCTGTGAATATGAATTTCAAAGGTTTTATTCACTGTGCCAAGAAAGTACTTCCGTTTTGCTTCTTTTTAATGTTGCCAGTCAATTTAATGGAAGGTTTCCATGTCCTAAGGTGATTTAATTCTGTTTACCCTCATGATTTATAAACCTTCTTGCCTTGTGTTAAATCCCCATCTTGGTATGGAAGAACCTTGTAGCAATCTGAAAGCAAACTGGTATTCTCTTTAATGCACATAATTTTAATCATTGTGGTAGGAAGGAAGGAAGGAAGGAAGGAAGGAAGGAAGGAAGGAAGGAAGGAAGGATGGAAGGAAGAGATAGCTAACTAGCTAGAGGATGGATGGATGGAGGGATGGATGGATGGATGGATAGATAGATAGATAGATAGAAGGAAGGAAGGAAGGAAGAGATAGCTAACTAGCTAGAGGATGGATGGATGGAGGGATGGATGGATGGATGGATAGATAGATAGATAGATAGAAGGAAGGAAGGAAGGAAGAGATAGCTAACTAGCTAGAGGATGGATGGATGGAGGGATGGATGGATGGATGGATAGATAGATAGATAGATAGAAGGAAGGAAGGAAGGAAGGAAGGAAGGAAGGAAGGAAGGAAGGATGGAAGGAAGAGATAGCTAACTAGCTAGAGGATGGATGGATGGATGGATGGATGGATGGATGGATAGATAGATAGATAGATAGATAG